AGTCTGTCTTTCCTCTCTATTCTTTTCTACTTTCCGCCCTCCATTTCTCATTCCCTGCATTCTCTCCCTCCTCCCCTTCTCCCTCCATTTTTTTCTTCCCTCCACCCCTCCCTCCATTCCCTCTTCCTTCCATCCCAGTACTGGAGATTGTACCCAGAGCCTCACACATGTTTCACAAGCAACTCTACTACTAAGCTACATCCGGGGTCTCAAAAGACACAAGCACAGTAAGGCTCTCTCTCCTCAGATCTCAGCGGTCCCTACTGGTGATTCCTGCCGACCCAGTGGGAATGTTCCCAAAGATCCAGTGGGTAAGATGCCGCTCTCCCTTTCCCCATCTCACCACCATTTTGGTTACCTGGGGAAGTCTGAGCCAGAACCACAAGGACAGCTAAGGTCAGGAACCAGAGCTTATTGTGTCCCGAGAGGGTGGAGGAGCGAGTCGGCAGCATACTGAATGTGCTGGAGAAACTGCTACCAATTTTGGTTTTAATGACCTCCTAGTCACGGGCAATAAATCTGAGGAAGGCAAAGGGCCTTCTGCAAGTCAGCACTGAAAGCAGCCCGTCCAGTGTTTGGGTCAGCTCTAGACATCCTTTGGCAAGAAGACAGTAAGCCTGCTGCTTTGTGGACAGTGCAGATCTAGCCCCAAAGAAGTCTTCCTGTCCTTCCTTCCAGCCTGGTTCTGCCCCATGCTCGCCATGGTTGGGATGTAGTTTTTCTAGCTCATTTTCCCACACATTGACAGCCTCAAGGACAACTGTGAGCCTGCAGGTGCAAACAGGCTGCCATGCCTGTGTGTCCAAGGCATGCAGAGCAGGCACTGCAAACACTGGGATGGTTGGGCAGCACTCTCAATGCCAGCACTGACAGGACTCACAGGGTCAGCAATAATAAAGGAGAGAACACTAAAGGGGAAGGTCATGTCGAGGTGTGGGGGGGGATGGGAAGGGGAGCTGAGGTGGATTGGATCAAGATACACTGTTCACATGTGCAAACGTGACGAACAATAAATAAAAATACTCCTTTTAAAAAGCATTGTCTGAAAAGGCAGGTCGACTGTAGATGGAGCTCAGCTGGCAGAGCCAAATCATCTCCATTTCAGCACTGGGAAGGTAGGCGAAGGCAGGAGCATCAGAAGTTCAAGGTCATCCTGAATTGTGAAGTGAGTTCAGAGATGGTTTGGGCTACGCAAGAGCCTATATACAAATACATAAAGCACAGGAGGAGAAAGATGGAGAATAAACAGTGTCTGATCTTCGTGCCTATCCCTTAGACCACAAAGGAGCTGACATTTCTTAGCTAAGAAAATGTGACCCCAGAGTATGGAAGAGAATTCTGTAGGGTTAAAGGGTGAGGAGGGAAGAAACCAGCAAGGTGATGGAGCGCGCATGTGTGTGTGTGTGTGGTTATGGGGTGAGTATTTTTGTGTAGTCATGATGTTAGTGTGTGGTATATATGTGTCTGATGTGTGTGCAGTCATGAAATGTGTGTGCTGTATGTGTATATGTGTGAGTGTGTATGTGTGTATATGTGTATACGTGTATATGTGTTATATATATATATGTGCATATGTGCTGTATTGTGGTGTGTGTGGTCATGATATGTGGGGGTGGGAGTAATCATGATATGTAGGGGTGGGGGGTGAGGGAGTGTTTGTGTGTAATCATGGCGTTAGTGTATCTAGTGTATGTGTGTAATCATGTTGTATGTATGTGGCATATGTGTGGTGTGGGTGTCATCATGGTGCTATATATATGTTGCCATGGTGTGTGTGTGTGTGTAATCATGGTCTCTGTGTGTGTACTTTGGGGGATATGTTTGTGCATAGTCATAGTGTGTGAGACCTGTGTGTGTGTGTGTGTGTGTGTGTAGTCATGCTGTATGTACGTGGTATATGTGTGCATGTGGTGTAAGTGTGGTGTGGTATGTGTTATGGTGTTGTGTATGTGTGGTCATAGTGTGGGGTATGTGTGTGTGTGTATATATGCATGTGTATGTGTGTGTATATATGCATGTGTGTGTGCATGTGTGTGTGTATATGTGCATGTGTATATGTGTGCATGTGTGTGTGCATGTGTGCATGTGTGTGTGTATGTGTGCATGTGTGTGTGCATGTGTGCATGTGTGTGTGCATGTGTGTGTATGTGTGCATATGTGTGTGCATGTGTGCATGTGTGTGTATGTGTGCATGTGTGTGTATGTGTGTATATGTGTGCATGTGTGTGTGTGTGCATCTGTGCATGTGTGTGTGTGTGTGGCACATGTGAACACTTTAGGCAGAGTGGTTGAGAAAGGAATCTATGAGGAGGTGGCAGGATAGTACATGTGACCTGAATGTCCCAAGGACTTAACTTGATCCTTCTGAGTATCCGGAGTCTCCCAGGCAGAAAGAACATCGAGGGCTGAGCCCTACGGCAGGAGAGTCTAACACGTGCAGAAGGAGCGCATGCTGCAGTAGTGAGGAGAGATAAATTTGGCTGAAATCCCAGAAATGTGGGGGCCACCTGCATCAGACCGCACACAGCTGTATGTGGTTTGTTCCAGATGGGATATGGGGCTGGGGTTACTCTTACATGATATTTCAAATCTGACTTTATTCTCTCCATCTGGGCTAAATGACATACCTCTGGTGTGTGCTGGTGTCACTGGCGGTGTGACTTGTAGCGGGTATAGTAAGGCATGTCTAATTCTTTCGCCAGAGGCTGGATCTGGTGCTGTTTTAGATAACACTGCTCAGGCCAGTAAAATGGGTGTGTTGTCTCTGGGAAAAGAAGTGAAACGTCAGGCCACCAGTGACACGGCAGGAAAGTTTGTAAGGTGAAATATAATCAACCGGAATGTGGGGTTGGGGGGTGATAACGACCATTCTATGGAATTGGAAACTGAAGCTCAGAAAGGGCAACAGACTTTGCTGGGGACACACAGTTGCTATGATCCTTTCCAGTCAGTCCAGCCTTCACCTCACCATCTGTCATTTCTAGAAACCAACTAGGTTTTCATCTCCACCAGTCAGTGGTTTTGAGAATGCTGGACGCATGCAGTCCTAGTGGGCAGCCTCCTGAGGTTGCTATTCTGATTCATGGTTTCTCCCTTTTATTGCTGAGTGACACTCACAATATGAACACTTATGTACTATTTTTTAGGGTGTAAGTATTGTCTCTCACCTCTTGGTTTCTGAAGCAGCATCTAACTGTAGTAGCTTGGTGGGGCCCACAACCCACTGTGTAATTAACCCCACTTGGCCTCGGTCTCTCTCCCAAATGCAGCATTTATGGATGTGCACCCCACACCCAGCTGTTGTTTCTCACTGGTTTAACTCTAGAATGCCAGGTCGCTTCCTGGTCTTCAGCTGTGATTCTTTGCTGGTCAATGCTGTTACACACCTTCCTGGTATTTCTTGTCATCCATAGCTTCCTCTGCTAAATGTCTGAAACTGTTTTATGCCCATGTTCTATATGGGGCTCTTTCTAGCTGCTTAATTTTCAAGCCCTTTTTTCTTGGACATAAGTTCTGAAGTGCATACATAGTTTGAAGACAATTTCTCTCTGCCATTAGTTCTCCTTTAAGCTCATTCAAAGGTATGCTCCATCTTTAATCCCAGCTCTGCCAAGGCAGAGGTAGGCTGATCTCTGTGAGTTTGAGACCAGCCTGGTCTACATAGTGAGTTCCAGATCAACCAGGGTTACAGAGTGAAAAATTCTTTTAAAAAACTCCCTTGATGGCAGAATTCCTAATTTTTTTATTATTATTGACTTGTGGTTTTGTCCAATTGTGATAAGAAAATATAGAGAATATCATTTTAATTCATTTACCAGCATTTGTTTAAATACTTAAAGTATGGTATGTTCTAGAGAAAGTTCCAAAGGTGTGAAAAGGATTTACTCTGTATGTACTGGGTAGTTCTGTACTGACTATTCCGTCTGTCCATCTGTCTGTCTGATCCCCAGCGCATCTCACTCCTCCTGCCTCTGGGTTGATATGTCTGGTTAGTGTGCCCGCTACTGAGAGCGGAGTATGGGAGTCGCTCATTGTTACTGGGTTGAAGCTTATCTTTCTTTCCTTTGGGTCTGTTTTATAGAACCGAGTGCTCTACACTAGGCACACAGAGACTTGTGATAATCATATCTTTCCTTGAATTGCCCCTTCAATCATTCCTTGTCTTTGGCCTTCTTTGTCTTATTAATTTTTTTTTGTCTCAGAATTACCTTTATTAGGTGTAAGTACAGCCACTCCTGATTGCTTTACGTCTCTGTTTTCTGTCCATCTGGACACATTTCTATCCGTGAGGTGAGTTTCAGGGCAGCAGTGTGTGATTGTGTTATATTTCTTTATCCTTTTGCCTGGTCTGCTCCTTTTAATTGGAGAATTTAGTCTGTTTACATTTAAGTTTCTGATTGATGGGGTAAGGACATTTAACATTATTTTGTTGATAGTATTCTAATTGGCTTGCATATCTTTGCTGGATTTTTTTTCTACCCTTGCTCCCCTGTGAAGTTTGGTGATTTATTTTGTATCAGCCTTTCTGGTGACACCTTCATTTTCATACGCCTTCATCTTTACTCCACTTCTGGATGTAGGAATCCCTTAAGCATCTTTGTAAGTATAGTCTGATGTTCATAAATTCTCTCACTGCCTCAGAAGGTCTTCACTTCTGAAGCTAGCCTCGCTTTCTATAATAATTTTTGTTGGCAGCTGTTTTCTTCCAGGACTTGGGCTCTGTCATTCTATTCTGCCCTTTGGCATATGACTCTAAAAAATCTGTTGTTAGTCTGATAGGAGTGTTCTTAAATGTGATTTTATGCTTTTCCATTGCATATTATTTTTTCTTTGTCTACTTTAAAAAATATATTTATTTATTTATTTATTTATTTATTTATTTATTTATTTATTTAT